TATTTCCTTCAATACTCTTTCCTTGTTCCTTCTGATGGATAATTACTCACATCTGTTGTGTATAATAATCTAATGCATGACACACTAAAGTATTCTACATGCCACATAATATAAATAAAGAAAAACAACAAATGTCACAAAAAGCAAAGGAACAATATCTTATATTAAATATATTTATAGGTACACTATGCATCAGGGTAGCTATTCTGGTAGCATTGCAGATTCAAGATACAGATCATACTTACTGAACCCATCTATAATCAATACCCTTATGTAACTTTCACTGCAGGCTAAAACAACTCTTGTATTTGTTTTATTTAAACAATTAGTGCTGCAGCATTAACTAGAACAGATTAGCAAAAAAATAAAAAAAACAAGTTAAATCCTTTTTTAATATACCATATGCAATGAAAGTTTCATTTAGATGGAAATGTTACAAACACTTTTGAAAAGAATAATTTTATTGTAGAGTGTAATTTGAAATTGAATAGCAATTATACTTTAAGTGTAATTTTAATTTTGGATCCAAACAATCATCTTATTCATGTTTAAATCTTTTATAATCCTTATTTCAGTAATACACTCCCCTTCCTCAGCTTTGTGAATACTTTCTCCATCCCCTGCATTTCCTTCTCCATAGCAGAAAGAAACAATTACAGAGGAGAGAAGTGTACCAAAGTATAGCTCTCCATATGCCTCAACTTTATCAATGTGAATTTCAATGAATGCCCCATTTAGCTCATGGATTAAAAATAAAACCCTCCTCTCATCTGAAACAACCTAGCCACAGTGGAAACATTCAAGCCTGCTCAATTTTGACTTACCAAGCTGTTAAAGCAATGATCAAGGAAGAGTAGAAGGACTGTCTGTTCATGAAGAGAGAATTCACTCTCCTTTTCAGCCAATGATGCTTTCAATATACATTTGAAAAAGTAGGGAAAGTGCTCTGGCTTCTTCTTGAATGTCTAGATGTGGAAGGGAAAGTTAGTTTGTTAGGTTGGGTCTAAATTACTTGCTGTCTGATACTGTTTAAGGAGTCACACATTCTTAAAGTTTTTAGTAAAATCCACCCACAGAAGATGAGAGCGATGATTCTCTACTCTTATGTTCCTTCCATGCTGTTAGGGCAGCCAAAACAAAGCAAAACTAGCCACATCCTCCTGGCTAAAGATTACCATGCTGTGGGCCACTGTGTAGTTCACTATGTCCTAACTGTAAGTTAAAAGGGATTTTCCTGATTTTTCTGCCTTTTGGAGCAGATTAGAACATCCCTCAGAGGCAAAAAAGCCTGGCTGATTTTTGTGAAGGAAGTGACAGCTGTTTAGTAGCCTGCAAGAAGTTGAGTAGAGGTTCCTAGAAGCAGGTGAACATGTCACTACTTATCAGCAAACTCAGCAGACAAAACCAAACCTACTCTTGGTCACAGAGGTTGCCCCTTCAGAACAAAACTAAAACACACTGGTGGGAAGGTATAGAGAACCTTGTACTTGTCATTTTCCATGCCTATTTGTACCTATTCTGGTACAAAGCTGCACAGATCTTGGTAGAGTCACTCCTCCAGGCTATTAATTTTGATACATTTCACTAGTAGTGACATAATTCTTTTTTCTTTTCTTATAAAACTAATAGAAGAAGCACTATTAAAAATAAAATCTTACAATACTGGCTAAAGGTCAGTACTTCTGATCAAGTGTGGTACACTGATGTACAGCTAAGTAATTATGGCAGGTCTGGTTTTTTTTGGGGGGGGGAGGGGGCAGGGGGGAGGCCGTTATTTATTAATCACATCTAATGGGGAGTCGCCTGTGGTTCAGTGGTAGAATCCGTGTCTACCACACAGTAGACCTGGGTTGGATTCCCAGACACTTATACAACTACAGCCACAGAGGCACCAAACATCTGGACTCAGCCTGGTCTTTGGATTCTGTCTCAGTGTCCTAAATGGAGGATGAAAGGTCTGGGCAGCCTCCACTTCTCCAAAAAATTCCTGCCCGGGCATATTCATCAAAGGTCTGGGTGGCCCTCATACATACACGATGATCCAGGAGGATCAACAGTTGCCACATCTAATGGAGCCCACTATATTTCAACAACAGTAAAGACAGGCTTGTCTTTTGAATTTAATTTTTTTTAATTGGCAAATCAAATAATGGAAAGTATACATAATTTCAATCAGCTTAAACTGTTAATACTGGCTGTCAAATTTTCTAAAATAAGAGGTTTTTAACAGAAAAGCTAAGCTTTCTAAACCACATACTAACAAGTATGTTGTCAATAAAACTTCATATAAATTAAAACTATAAAAATGCACTCAAAGATTTCAAACAAGAAACTGACACACAAAATAGTTTTCTTACTGCCCGTGACACCCTCCTTCATATACAAATATAAATTCCTCACAACAAATTTTATTTTAATACCAAAAAAGCCCCTCTTCAACCAGTGCCAAACTTGCTCAAGAAAATCTTATTTTTGAAGTGTGAAATCATTACACAATAAGACAAATGAGTTCACACTCAAAAAAAGAAGTCAGGGTCTACAGACCGACTTCATCTGTTCATTGCTTTTCTAAAAAAGAAACATCCTATTGCTTAAAGTAGCAGACAACCCATGACAAGGCAACATTTACTTTGAACACAGTAAGTTCAGCTGTTTTCTATCACTACAAGTGGGCTGCAACTTGTGAATCAAAGTCAACTGTAGACATAACTGTAAATGGTTACCTCCCATGCAGGGACATTTTCTCTGAACTTCTCATTTACCATGCAGCAGATTGACATTAAATATGCTTTACTGGACACCTCTGAGGAATAATTCATCCACAGGTAATTTTCAAGATACTGGCTGTGAAGAGACAAAGAATATGTCATTAGTTCCTACTACCCACATAAACTGCCACTCATCTCAAAAAACAGCAGTTATCCACAGATTTGGGGGAGGGTTAAAAATCATCTTTATGATTTGCAAGTAGTTCTTGAAGTTACCTCTAGTCAAGGTCACTATCACTAAACTTACTAATATCAAGCTTAGAGAGGCATTACATATGGAGGGAAAAATGAATTACTCATGCACCACTCACGCTGTAACAAGCCTGGAGGTTAATTAATGCTGATTTTCCAGGGGAAAGGGAATAAACAAATTTACTGCACGTGCCATAAACTTCAAACACTTCCTGTATTTCTCAGATGCAAGTGCCAACTTTCTTATGTAAAGTATACGATGGCATAACAAATACTTCATCAATTATTATATGTATTCTATTACATCAATATTTTCCAACAATGTATCCCTTTAATATGACCAATTGCTTCCCTCTTGACTGTTCAAAATAAAGCCACACCTAGTCATATCCTCCCCACTTTTAAGACCCCATTCAAGCTACTGCTTTATAGGCCCAGACTTAAGGTAATTATGCAGGGAAAGGTAAAGCTTAATTTTCCTAAACAGGGGGATACTTTTCTTTTTGTGAACAGTAGGCTTTTCCTTCCCGTGGAAAACAAGTGGTTCCAATTCAGACAAAGAGTAATTCCTGCCCTTACTCTACCCTCCTGGAGCAGTGCAGGGAAGTTATTTTAGTGCTTTTACTAAACTCTGTAAACCCTTCCACACTAATGGGTGCATGCAAGGAAATTTTACAGGCCTCCATGCTATTCTGACTTTTTCCATAAGCTTTTCTCAAATAGGCTGATCTCAAATTAACTACTTAAACAACTAACACCTACATAACTCAAAACACTATGAAGTAAAGAAACATAAGACACAGAAAATATTCTGAGTAAATCTTGCTTCTTTAAAAAAATAAAGTTACAAAACAATTAAAAGAGATAGTTCAGAGGATCTCTGCACAGCTTTTGCCTTACAGATAATACCTTGCAAGTTACACATACAGGTTTGCAGAACTGGACCCAAATTATGGAGACTAATCTGACCACAGGGAGAGAAAAAAAGCCTAACAGACATTAGGGACTCTACTGTACACTTTAAGATACCTCTGCATCCAAATAATATGTGGGGGTCCAATTATCCTCTGCATCCAAATAATAGGGAGGTACAATTATCCTCAGCTAGGAAAGTGGTAGCTGTGATGAGATCTCAAAGACAGGGAAGCAGTAAGCTGAGTCAAGATAAGGTAACCTGAGGCTCTGGTAGGAGGCAAGATGAAGGATATGGGTCTTATGAAAGTAGACAGCATATCCTGAGAAATTATATAAATTATTCATGCTAAGTTAAAGGGGTTCACTAGAAAAATTAAAATGGTGCAACTAGGCAGCACTTCTTTACAGCAAGGGTGTCAAACATACATGGTTCCTAGAGGGGCTGGGAATTCTGGGAAAGGTCAAGCAGGGACAGGACCGACCAGCAAAATCCAGAATACAAGTCCTTGTTGAGGACATGTATTGACACAGGAGGCAAGCAGCAGCAACACTAACCCCCACAGTTCTCTAATGCCATTTGCCCTGCCACTAGAATGTCAGGATCCAGACCCAGCCCAGGAGGCGGAGGTGAGTTTTGATAACCTTGCTTTACAGTGATGTGAATGAATGCCATGGGAAAATAAAGTTAACAGGAACTTAAATTGCAATTTAGACTTGAACAAGTCTCATTCAACTTATCTTTTTAAACAAACAAAAACGAGGAAAAATCCAAGATTTTAGAAATGAATATTTCCCCCTTCAAATTATCTTATTTCTCTAATCAGCAGTCCTCCTAGCATATCATAATTCTTTCCAGTCTCTCTCCAGCAGGAGTTTATAGTTGATGCAGAAGTGCATTTCACCAAGAGACCTTTCAATCTCAATCTACCTCTCCAAAAAGGTGGACTTAAAAATAATAACCAAAAATTAAATACCAATTAATATTGGTACTTAACACACATTTTTATATGCATGCCACTATAATCTGACATTTTTAAAAAAATCATTTTTAAACACAAGTTTTCCAATTTCTGTCAGGCAAAGAAAACTGGAAAGTCATGTTGCTGTTCTTAAAATTACAGCTTTGCTACAAATTTCCTCACACTTTGATGCAAAGACTTCCACTGACTTCAGAGGATTTTGAATCAAGGTCTAAGGAGGCTTCCTAATTTTTAGAACCAAATTGATCACTATTCTATGCATATTTGGTACTCCTTTTGTGCTGTAAATTTATCTGCATTAGAAATTTAGCAGCATGAAAAAAGACCTCCTAGAAAGCACTATTTATGTTTATGGAATTCATCTTATATTATATTACACTCTATGGAATACATTTTCTTATGTGCCTCATCATGGACTTAACTAGGGTAGAAGTAATGAGTTATACTATACCTCTAAAAGTGATTTACTGTCCTGCATTTGTTTCTCACCTTTACTTCCATAGGCTTTTCTCAAATAGGCTGATCTCAAATTAAGTACTTAAACAACTAACACCTACATAAATCAAAACACTGAGTAGAGAAAATTCATTATTACTAAAAATAAATGTTATATTTCTTCAAAAACTTACCTAAACTCAAGCAGCATTATCTTTCTAATGGCAAATCTAAGAGGGAAAAAAATGATAAATGAAACACAGAAAATAAAACAAACTAGTGAAAAGATAGGAGAACCAACAGACATACCAAGAATTCCCTCCAGGTGGTAGATCCTTTGCTCATCTCAAATAGAACAGAGGTAGAAAGTAAAGGGAAGAAGAACTCCAAACCCATGGACTGGGAAGCAGAGGGGAATCCCTACCCCTCAAAATTAGCAATCAGTAGAAAGACTGGCTCAGACCATGACAAAGAACAGGAATGCAAAACTTGATTTATTCACTGTATCAGACCTTTGTTATGTCATACATCTAATAATATAGCATAAAGAAAACTCATATTTAATCACGGAGGTGACATACCACTAACTATAAGGGTTTACTAAACTTTTTGACTTTCCTACATATTTAGCTCAATAATATTTTAAGTGGCCTTCATGTTAATATAAATGTCTATAGTATAGGTAAGTATCTATAACATAATCCATAAACAAACATTAGAAATATTGTACTTACTTTGACTTAACGATTTCTTTCACATATACATCTTCAATAACCTATTTTAAAAAATTATCTCGATTAAAAAATGACACTTGTAGTTTGATTCATTTTTAAAACTCTACGATTTTCAAAATCAAAAAGGTTATTAACTGTATGCTCTAGGGTTATTACTATCACTTGGTGAGCTCTCATCAGGAATATCTCAGCCCTAAGAGGAAGAGCAAGAGTCCCAAAGCATTTAAACACTCATAATAGGCATGCATTGATAAAGATTTTTGGGCAGATAAAGAAATCCCCAGATTTTTGGTTATTGACCAGCCATACCGGTTGATACCAATCTGATTGCCCATATACAGCCTAGCAGCTTGGAGAGCAGCATGCAGCTGGTAAGCCTGTTTGGGGGAAGTGGGGGGAGACTGAGGCCCCCTGAGGTGAGGAATGGAGTGGAGCTGGGGAAGGGGCAGGTGCTGCCCAGTCAGGATGGGGCACAGGACAGAGGCAGCAGCTTGTCCAGGGGGCAGGCAGCTCCTGCCACTGCGTGCTCCCATAGGGGAGGTCAGGAGGGCATGTGCCCTACCAGATCTATGCACAGGATGAAGGCGGACTGCTGCTGCATTGTTGGGGCTGGGGCTGCTCCAGCCTCTTCCCAGCGGATATGCTCAGGCTGGGGCAGGTGATAGTGGCACTGGGAGGCAGGGTTGGGAGGGCAGGGGGGGCACTAGAACCACCCCAAAATTTGCCATGACCCCCCTTCCCAGCACCACTGACACCTGCCCCATCCAAGTGCAGCTGCTGGGAAGATCCTGGCACAGCCCCAACCCCTAGCACACAGCCTGCCCTTGCCCCATGCACAGATCTGGGAGGCGAGGAGAGACACATGCCCCCTATGCCTCCCCAGGGCTGCACGCAGTGGGGGAAGCTGCCCCCATACCCCTAGACAAGCCGCCAGCTCCATCCTGCACCCCACCCCAGCTGGGCAGCGCTTGCCCCT